AGAGCTCATTGGATCCAGCTGTCTTGAGGCCCACAGGGATTCTGAAGTCTTTCTTCAAATTAACCTCTGCTCATCTTGCCCTCTGCTTGCTATCTATTGCCCTCATGTTGTCCTCTCTGCTGGCATTAACCTCTGCTCATATTGCCCTTTACCAGGTACAAACATGCCAGCCACATTTGGCCACTTGGCAGGAGGCTATGATGCCCAGTACTATGGCTACCTCTGGAGTGAGGTGTACTCCATGGACATGTACTACACACGCTTCAAGCAAGAGGGGATCATGAACTGTAAGGTACGGGAGCCCAAAGCCACACAAGGTCCGGCTGATGGGGTGGTGCCGGGTGGAGGAGCATACTAATCAGTGTCTGGATTGGCCAGCAAACCAAAACCAGGAAGCCTGACTTGAAGCAGGTTTGCTAACTGTGGTAGGTTGCGGCGCCTTGAACCAGAACCCTGTACCCCTCTGGCCATCTCTGCAGCTCCAGAGCCCATGGCGGAGAACAAACAGAAAGCGGACAAGTGGCTCTGAGCTACAACTTGCGGTGCCCCTCTGGCAAGCCAGGGTTCTTGTTTACATTATTTATAGCCCCCACCCCCCCTCCTCACTTGGACTCAAGACGGATTAGACGGAGTGAGCCAATACAATCGACAGATGGGACGTTCAGTAATCAATGAAGTAGACCCTGACCCGGATAAGCCAAGCAAGCCCAATCTGGTCAGATCTCGGAAGCTAAGCTTTCTTCAAATACATTAGAAGCAGGAAACCAGCCAGGGAGGCAGTGGGGCCCTTGGACGACCAAGGGGTAAAAGGAGTATTGAAGGATGATAGGGAAATGGCTGAGAAGCTAAATGCATTTTTTGCCTCCGTCTTCACTGTGGAAGATGAGAAGTGCTTGCCCACTCCAGAACCACTGATTTCAGGAGGGGTGTTGGAAGACCTGAGTCAGATTGAGGTGACGAGAGAGGAGGTCCTAAAACTGATAGACAACTTAAAAACTGATAAATCACCAGGCCCAGATGGCATACATCCGAGAGTTCTGAAAGAACTCAAATGTGAACTTGTAGAGCTCCTGACAAAGATATGTAATCTTTCCTTAAAATCTGCCTCCATTCCTGAGGGACTGGAAGGTAGCTAATGTCACTCCCATCTTTAAAAAGGGTTCCAGAGGAGATCCGGGAAATTTTTGCTCACAAGTCTCCACAGCTTAGAGGGAGCATTGCCACCAATCTCCTGCGCTGCTTGATTTGGGTGACTAATGGAGAAAGAAAATATGCTGCGTTTCTTGTGTATTGCAAATTCCATTAAAATCTCTCATGAAACTTTAGGTGCCTCCTTCATTGTCTGGTCAGAATAAAACTTCTCAGCTATCGATCATAATTTTCATTGGGAAACAGATTAAAAATACACAGATAGATAAAAGCTGTCTCCTCAAACTGATGCTGGTATAAATTGTATTTTGGATCCTGCCATTTACAAACTGCTGAAGTGGACCAAGATTTGATGCACATCTGTCACTGGCAATTTTGAGTCTCTGACTCCTCTGTATACTGGGGCTTGTACCTAAATGACACAAACAAAAGGGAAATAAAGCAGAACCCCAGGAACAATGTAAAGACTAATAAAATGTATTCCAGCACAAGTTTTTATTCCAGCATAAACTGTGTGAGTCTCTGACATGCCACCTCTGCTATTCTATTTTGCTGCTACCCATCTGGAACAATACACACAGAGTATAAAAATGTCCAAAGGGATGACCTGGAGTATTCATTGATAGTTGGAGGAGAGCACAACACACCTTTTAAGTAGCAAACTTGTGCCAACATGTTTCAAACAATAGTGCTTCCAAGAACTAAGATCCCTGGCATAGATCTCACATAGTGCAAGTATGATCATATTTGGTATTTGAATAGTTACATTCCATAGTCTTTGTGCTTCTGGAAACCTTTTCCACTATTGCTTTCACTCAGAAATGAATACTTGAAGAACCAAGTGAAATTTGTTTTAATTAGCAAATACTAGTTAGAGAAATGTCTCTACAAAAAGTATTTTCTGTAAAGAGATACCAAAGAGTTTTGTGATGCGTTAATAAGCAGACATCTCTGACATGACATGATTCTTCTTGCACAGTGGTGGCAATATTTGTAACAGGGGTCTTGTTGTAGAAAAAGAGCTGCCGGAGCTCATTAGCATAACTTATTTGCATATGCCACGCCCCCTGACATCACCCGAAGTGTGTCAGAAGGCCCGGCTACTTACCCTCCTGCTTCATCCTCATTCCCAAACGGAATGAGGATCGAAGCAGAGGGCGGGGTAAAGAAGGGGGCGGGGCTTCACCACGTGACCGCCCCGCCCCCTAGAGGTTCTCTTCCGGAGCTCCGTACCTGAGAGCTCCCCCCCGACTAGAGCCCTGATTTGTAATTTTTACCCATTTTAATGGGTACATCACTATTGAATGTTTGATTGTCATGACTTCCCTGTCCACTAGAGGTACTGAACTGCAAAGCTGAGGTTTGTAAGTATAACACTGGTTTTGCTCTCAAAAGTGATAAAGCTTGTGACTCATTCTAGAGGGCTCAGTTACACAAGACACTGGAAGTTTAATTAACACACACACAGAGGCATCCGGAACCTGATTCATATTGGAACTGCAATGCGGAGATGGGTGAGTTTTCACCCTGAACAATTTTCCAGGGATGAAACAGCTCTGGGGAGCTGCCATTTGCCCCATTGGGGCAAACATAAAGAAAGGGAGCTGTGTTCATCTTGTGTAGCTGAGCCTTTAGTCAGATCAGATAGTCAATTACTTCTGTATGCTTTTGATCTGACTCATGGCTGTTTTTCCTCTGATTTGTGTCCCTAGCCTGACTTTGGGAGTGGTTGGAATGCAGTTTCACAGCATATTTGTTGCTTGTAAGTGCTTTGAAGGGTAGATTCCTATTAATAAATCTAGTTTCTTCGTATGTAACAGCCCCTTGAAATTGCTATGTAAGTCAGACAAGCGGATAGCAAAACCCCAGGAGCCACCTCTTTTAGGAAATGGTGTTCACGCTACCCTGATCTTCAAAGGTGCAAAGATCCGTGCAGTGTATTTAGCAGGCAGGGCATCCTGCGAAGGAAAAAGATGCAGCTCATTAAAGCGCGCACGCACACACAGTAGTTCCAGTGATAAAAAATGGCCACTATTTCCACAGATAACTAAAGTCAGTGGTATAATATGGGACTATCCTATAGGCTATCTATTTCCTTCTGTTAACTGAAGTGCTGCAACTTGCAGTTTTGCATGTCATGAAAAGGAAAGAGACAACCTTGTCATCTGGTTGCTTGCAAACATGAGTAGACTGCTAGTGGATACATGAAGGTACCTTAGACTAGACCTGTACATGCACGTTGGCTGAATACAGCAGCCATGCATCCACATGATTGTTAGCTTATGAGCATGGTGCATATTTGGTTGGCCCTACGGCCTGATAAATGATATGATGAATTAGGTTTTTCTGTATGGCGATACTCTGTGATGTTACTCGGCAATTTTAATTTGACTCTGTGTGTACTCAGATTACTGTATTTTTATTTATATGCCAATAAAAGGCTTTGGATGGATGGTGCATATTTGGGAAGACAATCCTCATGTACTCTCCCTGTGATTGTCAAATTTTGGAAAACTGTGTCCCCCATCAGTGTCCCCCTCTGCCATGCTCATAAGCCAGGGATCATGCAGAGGCTATGGGCAAGGCCAGAGCATTTTATGTCCATTTTCTTTTTCTACACATTGGCTGAATTGTGGAGATGTTCTGTGGACAGAGCGAAGTCAGGCCATTGGTCTGTCAAGGTCAGAATTGTCATCTCTGGCAACAACTCTCAAACATCTCAGCTTTTTCACACCCTGGTTATCTGATCCCTTTCAGCTGGAGGCACCAGGGATTGAACCTGGGACTTTTTTCTTGCAAAACCAAATGCTTTGTCACTGAGTCATGGCACCTCCACAAAATCTCCCCATTTTTTAGTTGTTCAGTCGCACAGTCAAGTCCGACTCTTCACGACCCCATGGACCAGATCACGCCAGGCCTTCCTGTAAAAAGGATACATGTGCTGCTTCTCCCTCAGTCCAGGATCTTTGTGTGTGTGTTACCAGGTTCATTAGCATGACAGTGCGTTGGCTCAATTTCATGTTCGTTGAAACTATGACACTGTCTAACCATTTTATTTTGACCCATATAGCTCTCCAGGCCAAAAAGCAAAACCCACCTTTCTTAAGTCTTGGTCCACTAGGGCACTTAACTCAAATGATTATCAGTTCACAGCTCATCAGTCCACATATGGACCTGAGAGAGAATAACTTTCCCACCCATGGGGTTGCCATCTCTGGGTTGGGGAGGGAATTCAGTGGGGTGTAATGCCCTAAAGTCCACCTTCCAAAGCAGCCATTTTCTCTAGGGAAACTGACCTCTGTTGTCTGGAGATCAGTTGTAATCCCAGAAGATCTCCAGCTATCACCTGGAGGTTACTAAATCTGAAAAACACTAGTGAAGGAATACACACAAAATTCTGTTTGAAATTACAAAAAAACTCTTCTCCCTCTGGGGTGGAGGACATCTTGCTGGGTGATTCTCACCGTCCAATCAGGGAGGCAGGAACCTTTTTTTTAACTTCCTGTCTCTTGCCTGTGGGAGTTGCCCTCTTCAGTTCTTTTCCTGCCTCAATAGGGAGAGCACCAGTCAGGTGTTATAGCAAGCTGAGGAGCTCTGCTGTTTCCCTTGACACTAAAGTCTATTCAGTGTTCCACGGCTCCACAAAGCCAAAAGCCATGTCAAGGGAAATAGCACAGCTCCTCAGCTTGCTATAAAGCCTGAGAGGTAGAGTACAGTTGGGAACAGAGGAGAAGCACCTAGGCACATCCTGCACTCCGCAGGAAATGACCCCTGTATGCAGTTCCTGCACCAGTCCCCTCAACTCTTTCCTGGCTTTACCATATGATTACAGCCTGATGAAGGGTCAAAATGGAAATTTACCTGGGACATCCATTGCCGTGGTTAATGTTATGTGGTTAACCTCATATATTGTGGTTTAGCTTCATATGTTTAAATTCAACTTGTACTGCATCTTTAAAGAATAGTTAATAAGAGTTTTTTTGTAATTTCAAACAGGATTTTGTGTGTATTTCTTCACTACAGTGTTTTTCAGATTTAGGATACTACACACACTATAGCCATTTTTTGTTATATCACCTGGAGGCTGGCAACCCTAATTTAATGGTGAGTCCATGGATGAAGGAGCTGTGGTGGCTCAAGTGG